AATTCTAGTTAGAAGAAATTTTGGTTCATTACAGTAGATATGTATCTTCAGATTAATTGTGCATATATCTTTTATTTACATATGTTTATATATTTTATTATACATATATATATATATATATATATATATATTTATTTAAGATTTAGAAAATAGGGCCAGATGAGATGGCATACAAGAGGGGAGTGATGGGCTCTCCCATTCTCACACCCTCAGGGCTAACTCACCCATGCTGGTAGACTTTCTAAAGCTCTAACCATCTGGCCCTGGGCTGGCTTTCTTTGGTTGGCAAACTTTTAGTGACTGCTTCTATTTCCTTAGGGGTTATAGGTCTATTTAAATTGTTTATATGATCTTGATTTAACTTTGGTAAGTGGTACCTATCAAGAGAATTATCCATTTCTTTTAGACCTTCACTTTGGTAGAGTACCAGTTTTTAAAGTATGTCCTTATGATTCTCTGGATTTCCTTAGTGTCTGTTGTTATGTCCCCCTTTTCATTTCTGCTTTTGTTAATTGGCTAAGAAACACTTGAAGAAATGTTAAACATCCTTAGCCATCAGGGAAATGTAAATCAAAACGACTTTGAGATTCTATCTTACACCTGTCAAAATGGCTAAGATCAGAAACACAGTGATGGTTTGTGGAGCATCAGACGAGGATGTGGAGCAAGGGCAACACTTCTTCATTGCTGGTGGGAGTGCAAACTTGTACACCCACTATGGAAATCAATATGACGGCCCCTCAGAAAGTTGGGAATTGACATACCTCCAGACCAAGCTACACCGTTCTTGGGCATATACCCAAAGGATGTTCCATCCTAACACAAGGACACTTGCTCAACAACTGCAACAACCTAGATGTCTCTCAACAGAAGAATAGATTTTAAAAAATTGTGGCACATTTACACAAAGGAGCATTACTTGGTTGTTAAAAAAAAAAAAAAAGACATCAGGTGAGTGAATGGGACTAGAAAAACAATTATCCTGTGTGAGGTAACCCAGACCCAGAAAGATAAATACAATACATATTCACTGGGGGATATTAGTCATTGAGTAAATGATAACCAAGCTATAATGCATAGAACCAGAGAGTTAGATGAAGAGGGAGACTCTGGGAAGGTTCAAGTATCTCCCTGGGAAGGGGAAATAGAGTAGATTTTATGGGTGGACTAGGAGTGATGGGGATGGGAGTGGGGGATCAGGCTGGGGGGGTGGAGTGGAGGGAGGGAGTGCAGGTAGAGATGGCTGGAATTGGAAGGCCCTTGTGGTGTGTGTGAAACCTAGTACAGTGGAAACTTCCTTGACTCTATGAAGGTGATTCTAATGAGGATTCCTAGTAATTGGTCATACAGAGTCTCAACTGGCAGTCTCTTGTAGTGAGGTGAGGTGAGGCTTCCAGTATGGGACAGGGTTGCATTTAATGAGTTGTTGGCCAAGGGAGTCCCACCCACAGAAATCACCAAACAACCCAGGCTGTTGCTAAGACAAAAGATTGCTCTCTGCAACCTGACAGCGGGGCACCATTGGTGAGGACAACACCCACACGACTCCCTGAACATGGAGAAGTTGAGCTGGTGTCTTTTTTTAACATTTTTTTTCTTGGGATTTTCTTTGAACTTAGGGATTTTCTTTGAATGTCTACAGGCCCTGTCCCTATTAAAAAGAGCACATTGTAGAATGGAGGAAGTATGGAGCTAGCATCTCCACGTCCTGTGGTGACTGTGGAATTTAAAATTCTGCTGTTAAAAAAGAGCTCTCGCCCTTTTTTCTAGTCTCTTTGGTCAGGAAAGGTACTCTGAAGGCTACTGAAAGAGAAATGTGGGCTCCAACCCAATCACAAAACCTTTTACCTACAATCTGTCCTTCCTGCATAAAATGCTAGGGCAATAGTGGTACAGAACTTGTGGGAGTAGCCAGTGTTTGATTTGACCTACAGCTCACTCCACAAGAAGAAACCATACCAGACACTGCTTGGGTAACCAAGAACTAGAGACTAAATAGCCCAGAGTCCTAGGGTTAAAACCAAACACCATTGGTCTGGAAAAAATCCAATAAAATGATTATTCCTAATGATAGCAGATACTCATAGATACAGTGCCGTATCCAGTCATCATCAGAGAGGCTGACTTCCTCAGGCAGCAGATCAGAACAGATGCAGAGACCCACAGTCAGACATTATTTGGAGAGTGAGTCTAAATTGGAGGTCTCCATCAGATCCCTTCTCTTGGAGCTCAGGGAATCCCAAAGAACAGGAGGCAGAAAGACTGTAAGAACCAGAGGATGGAGAACATAGCCCTCTGAATCTACTAAGCAAGGTGCATATGAGCTCACAGAGACTGAAGCAGCAATCGCAGGGCCAACCTGGGTCTGCACCAGGTCCTCTGTGTATGTATTATAGCTGTTAGCTTAGTATTTTTGTAGGACTCCTTCCTGACTGTGAGAACAGTGGGTCTCTGACTCTTGTGACTGCTCTTGGGACTCTTTTCCCCCTGTTGGGGTGCCATGTCCAGCTTCAACATGATAGTTTTTGCTTCATCTTATTATAGTCATGTTGGGTTGTTATCTCTTAGAAGCCTGTTCTTTTCTAATGAAAGATAGAAAAGGAGTGGACCTCAAGGGGAGGAGAGGTGGGGAAAACTGGGAAGAGTTAAAGAAGATGAAATTATAATCAGGATATATTGTTTGGGTGAATAATCTGTTTTCAATAAAAGCAAAAATGTTAAAAAAAAAGAATCAGTTGCTTTCTGTGGATTTTTTTCTAAGTCCTGTAAAATGCTGATTCCCTTGCATAATCTTGACTTGCTAAGGAGTAGCTGATTCTATGCATATAAGACTTTTTAGTACTATATTAATGGTGATAATAGTCAAATTTACCATTTCTGAGTTTTTAATTGGGATTTAACTATGGTATTCTTGACCTTTTTTTATTTGAGCCCATGTCTGTTCTGCATGGAAGCTTCCTTCTCTCCATGGTAATGGCATATTTGCTCAATGTGAAGAGGCCAGTAATTGTAAAACAAGAACTTTAGCAAAATAACATTCTTAGGGATTTTCTTTGAATGTCTACAGGCCCTGTCCCTATTAAAAAGAGCACACTGTAGAATGGAGGAAGCATGGAGCTAGCATCTCCACGTCCTTTGGTGACTGTGGAATTTAAAATTCTGCTGCTGACAGGAATTCCCATTCTGTACAACTACACTGGAAACCTAGTCCTGACCAGGCTGTCACAGGAGGGCCCTGGCACTCTCCAGGGCAGACTAATGGGCCACTTTCTAGCTGAGGAAGGTCAAGTGTCTTATGTCTAACCTGTGTTGTCATGGCGCTTTCAGCTGGCTCATTTCCTGCCCTTATGACCTCAGTAGAAACCGTAGAATAAATAAACAATGGGATCAGACTGAGACATAGGTATCAGGCTTCATGAAATGGATGCTGGTATTCTGAAACTAGAATGACAAGTTCTTCCCATAAGTGAAAGAAGACATAATCACTTCGGGACTTTTCATTTTCATGTGAACTGGCTTCTAGAGAATTCTTACTTCCTTCTTCCTCATGGTATTTAGGCCAGAGTTACCATCTGCGTATTAGCAGAGTCCCTAAATAAATGGTATTGATGATAGATTTGCATGCTGGCTAGTTTTATGTCAACTTGACAGAAGCTATAGTCATCTGAGAGGAGGGATCCTCAACTGAGGAAATGCTTTGCTAAAATCAGGCTGCAGGCAAGCCTGGAGAGCATTTTCTTAATAAGTAGTTAATAGGGAGAGAGTAGCCCACTGTGGGTGGTGTTATCCCTAGTCTGGGCGTCCTGGGTTCTGTAAGAAAGCAGACTGAACAAGGCAGAGAAAGTCAGCCAGTAAGCAGCTCTCCAAGGCCTCTGCATTAGCTCTTGCCTCCTATTCTGCTTTAGTTCCTGTCCTGACTTCCTTCAGTGATGGACTATGATGTAGAAGTATATACCAAATAAACCTTTTCCTCCCCAACTTGCTTTTGATCATGGTGTTTCATCATAGTAATAGTACCCCCAACTAGGACCATTTCTTAACTGAATCACGATGGTCCTACACAATGTCTCCGATAGTTATGGAAAGAAATTCTAGAACAGATGGTTGGCTTTATTCATATGCACGTGACAGAAACAGCAAAGCTCATGAGCCAGCCGGAGGCCAGAAGGGGACTGTGTTCTTGGTAACATTTCCTTGAGTAGGCTACTATCCAGGAAGGTGATTAGATGTGTCTAAGCGGGCGCCTGGCAAAGGGTGGTGCCTCTAAGAATGGAATTAGGTTTGAGAAAGCCTGAAATGAAAAGAGATTCTTTTCAGAGGCCAGACGTCAAGGAACACTTATATTTATCTGGGAGCAATACTGGATGACTTACCTCTCACAAGAGTCTTCGGTAAAATCCTGTAAGACTCACTGCTTGGGGGGCTTGGAAGTTACTGTGAGATGGAGGAGACCTGTGCACAAACAAACAAACAAACAAACAAACAAACAAACAAACCACCTCAAAACAAAAAAACTTATGTTTGGATTTGTCAGGTGTCATGACACTCTGAAGAAAAAAAAAAATTGTTCAAGACCAAATTACAGAAGGCATAGTGCTAATAGTTCTTGAGCACCAACCATCTGCTCAGAATGCCCTGTGGGAGTCTCACTTTACCCTCTGTGACACCTGGGAGGTGGGTGGGCTTGGTCTGTGTTTTGTAGAAGAAGGTGACCTGGCCCTGAATGTGTACATAATCACCAGCTCTGATGCCTGGCAAGTTTTGCGGCTGGAATTTGACACCCCCTATTACCTCACTTACCTACCATTCTTAAGCCACACCTTGACACAAAGGCAACAGAACACTCCAGTCTCTTTCCAGCCTGGCAGCTCTAACATGCACACAATAGCCTTTTGCCTACACAATTGTGTGCTCACTGACAGTGCATGACCATGCAATGGATTCTATGCATTTAAATCTTATTGTTTAACATCTTACATACTTATGTGTTTTCTCTTCAGATTATAACCTCCGAGACACCTGATAGTTGACTCTCACAGCATTTGATGAATAAGTGATGCTCATTTAACACCTAAGGATTTGATTTTCACGAGTGTGAGTAAAACAAGTTGTGGAATAGTTGACCTGAAGTGAAAGTCATAGTCAAAACTATTTAAAGGCATGTACATGGTTCGTGGGACTTTTGATAATTCATACATCTACCATGTTAGAATTTCAGGGAGATTGACAGGGGAACAAATGGAATGGTAATTCTGAAATCCGTATTATTAAGGATTTCTGTTTTTATTTAGTGTGTATGTTCATGAGCACATGCTTGGGCCATGTTTGTGCCATGGCTCATTTGTGGAGATCAGGGGACAACTTGCAATATTAAGATTCCCTTCTTGCTTTCCATCATGTAGGCTACAGGAGTCAACTTAGGTCATCACAATTGGTGGCAAATGCCCTTATCTGCCGAACCATTTTGTAGCCTCATTGATGATATCCATAAACATTTTTAATTACTTAAATCTTGATTGTTGAAACCCCCTTTGACTGTTATCACCTTCCTAATTGTGTATGTTTTATCATCCATCTCACCACACAAACTTAATAATTTGTCATTGTGAGCCTTATATATTTCATGTATAAATATCCATCAAGGTCAAGGGTGGGGGTGGGGGTTGGGGAGTGGTCAGGAAAACAAGAGCTAATGTCACTGAGAAGCCTGCTTTCTCCTGGCTGTGGTGGCTGTTTCCCGCTTGAGTCAGTCCCCGAGAGCACAGCACTGGGTGTGAGAGCCAGGCAGAAGTGTCTCAATGAACCCGAGAAGATGGAAACAAACCTTTCATTTCATTGCTTTGGAAAGTGTGTGTAATTCTGATTACTATAATTCCCATTCTTTCCCCAAATGTAATCCTGGAGGAGGAGGCTATTGCTGGCACCAGGGTAGAAGCTTGTACTTGACGGAAGCCAGTAGCTTGTTTTTCCATCTGGTCTAGACCCACAGTTTGCAAACCTCTTTCTGAGTTACTCATTCCCGGGCAAACTCCGAGCTACTGTGGGACGAGTGCCAGGCTTGACCCTGAGGTCTGCAAACATAAGGTGGCCCTTGTTTAATGGTGTTTTGCTACCAGGAGTACAGCTAGTTCTGCTGAGGCTTGTGCTTGCCACCTCAGTTCAGAGCACTGGGTTATCTCTGGGAAGCTGATGGCTTGAGGACATAAGGGATGGCCCTTCATACTGATCTTGCTTCCAGCTGGGAGATGTGGCCAAGAATTTGGCTACAGATCTCCAGATATTAGTTTGGAGTAGTCACGGTACTGGTTCAAGTGTTCCTGGAGGGTGTCCACATTTGGAATTTCCCCATGTGGTCTGTCCTGGCTCCATCTGTAGCTTTTCCTGCCAGGGAAGGTGGCAAACTCCTCTGTCTTGTTTGTTAGACTGAAGTGGCTGAATTCAGCTTTCCTCTGACCCTGGGGCCTCTTAAACCTTTCTGTGATGCTGCAGTAAACTGCACAAAAGCAAACAGAATATTTGCACAAAAGAAATATGAATTTCTTTTCTTAAAAATTCTAGCCAGGTGTGGGTGGAGATGCATGCCTCTAATCCCAGCACTCGGGAGGTAGAGGCAGGCAGATCTCTGTGAGTTCGAGACTAGCCTGGTCCACAAAGCTACACAGAGAAACCCTGTCTCAAAAACAAAACAAAAAATCTAATATTACTATTGTTATTATTATTATTGTGTGTGTGTGCACACCCACATGTGTGCATGTGTGTCACAACAAATATGGAGGTCAGAGGACAGTTCCATGGAGTCAGCTTTCTTTTCACCTGTCTGTGGATTATGAGGGGTCAAATGTGGTTATGTATAATAGCATGCCTCTCCAAGTACCCACACTACAAACAGGCTGCCTGGGCTTGGGTACCAGCTGGTCACTCACTAGTTTTTTTGAACTTAAGAAAGCAGTCTGGCCTATCTTTGGTGAGAGTCGCTGTGAAGAGCAGGAGTGAATAACACACACACATGTGCAAACACGTTCCTTTACCCTCCTCTGCTATCTGATGTCAGTTAAGGCAACTCCAGATCTACAGAACCACTGGACACTCTTTCCCTTGAGTACAAAGGAAATGCACAGACATTGTCAAGCAGATGAGTGAAAAGAAAAACCATGGCTTGTAGGCTTATTCCCCAGGACCCACAGTGCCCCCAGGGTTCCTCTCAAGATTCCAAGAACTTTTGCAACTCCTTACCCAGTGAGAAAATTGGACTCCTTAGCCCTTTCCTTGAGCTGGCTTTGATCCTGAATTCTAACTTGTCACGATACTCTGAGCTCTTGATTTTGTTTGTTTGTTTTTTTTCTGTTATCTCCTAGGCTGGTACCCTCTGTAAATTTAAAGTTGCGCGCGCGTGCGTGTGTGTGTGTGTGTGTGTGTGTGTGTGTGTGTGT